AAAAAAAAAAAAAAAAAAAAAAATGCAAGATTGGATTCTTAAATCCTAAAGAATCCAAAAACGAATTTTGCGTTTCTTTACTAAACAGATCAATCCAAGATCTCTCGGATCATGGTGGGTCAAAGGAACCGAAGAATCCACCCTGGGAGTGGATTCTTCGGTTCCTTTGACACATGCACTATATTATATGTCGTTTGGCCTTACCGGTAGCAATGTAATTAGGCTTCTCCGCAACCTGATATCAACACAGTGTGTTAACCAATACTGCTGATAGAACAGCGACTATGGTCTATAAATCTATCTCTTAATGCTCTCGCCCCTGATTATCTGAAATCAATGTTTACTGATCGGAGTGCAATATCTAGCTATTCTCTTAGGAATTGTGAGGGCAAACTAGCTGTTCCATAACCCCGTACCAATTTTCTAAAAAACAGTTTCAGCTAAAGTGGTGCAGTACTGTGGAACAGCCTACCTACCAATCTGCGGCAAGCACAAACTCTTACTAGTTTTAAATCCGGCTGCAGGGGTTTCCTTTTTCATAATAAATAAGTTAATTAATCACACGGCATTCATGGAAAACAGGCACTTCGTTATTCCTTTTATTTTTGTTGTTATTAGATTCAATTAGTAGTAGATTAGTATCTTAACAATGTAATTAATGCAATTTTAGTATTTACTTTAAGTCCTGATGTTTTACCCGTGTATAAATAAAGTTAAATAAATAAATAAATAAATAAAAACCTTGTTCATATATATTTCCAATCTGCGCACATTTAATGCGGAAACTCCGATTTAAAACATCAATTTGTTTGCGGCCAAATGCTTTGGGTTTTCTCTTGATCAAATTTTTCCTTACATTGAACACTTTCAAGAATTTTTTACTTTTCGGGAATTTTAAACAGGGATTGGATTTTGGTAAAATCTGCTCTTGAAACAGGATCTTCCCCCAGTAAGTAACCAAACCAATGACCAAAACTGCAAGGGTTTCTTGCCTCCAGCCCCCTGTTGACTCTTACAGCTGCATTTTATGTTCATCATCGGGGAGATTTTACAGTTTGGTCACAATTACATTGGAACTGTTCACATTTGCATCAAAGAACTACCTTTTAGGAAACTACTTAAAAGGCTTTGAACCTGATCTGGGGTATGACGCAATGAAGATATCATCCTTCCTGGCAGGCAATCTCGTTAACGCTTCCACCTTTTCTTCTGTGATGCCCAGACCGCACGGCCATGGACGTCCATGTATCATCACCACCTCATCCATATGTCAGCTTACTCTTCACTCGCGTTCCTAAAAAGTCAATGTATTTATAAACCCTCCTTGTATTAGCCTATTACTTGGGTACTGAGCGCAAACGGACTTAGCGTGTGACTGGAAAAAGAGGCGAGTGATTTAGGGCGTTGACCCGACTGAACAATCGTCTGAAACACGCTTCCTCTTTACCTGATAAAAGCTCAACCTGTGTTGTTGTTGCTGGTTTCCGTTTTGCTTTTCTTTGCCTTCCGGATGAAAGTTATAACGGACATGCCCTGGTAACGTTCCAGAAAAAAAAAACGCCCTGGATATATAATCCGGCTTTGTTCCTTCCTTGTGGGTTGTGCCTCTGGTTGAGGGTGATGGGTTTGGTCCTCTTTAGTCCTATCATTGTAGGAATCACTTTCGGTTCTGCGATCATTTGCGGTCCAATTTGGGGATTATTTGCTGTCCCACGATCATTCCACTGTCCACTGTGATACTTTAAGGCTAATTCACATTTGTGAGATAAGCACAAGCATAAGCACAATGATGTTCACACTAGCGACATACGCATGTGCAATGCGAGTCACATCGGAAGCATTCTCATCCTCACTTATACTCGTTTTAATATGTCAAAAGAAATAGTGGTTCGGGGAACGAAAATGCGTAGGTTGACAAACAAGACTGCGGACGAAGAAGCGTTGTTTACTGTGTTTATGGTTCTTCGACGAAGAAGGTGTCGAAGATGGTGACCACAATGTATAATAATTTGAATTATTGCGCTTACGCTGTGCTTATTTCACGCCAGTTCCCACTTGTGAAATAAGCATAGCACTAGTGAAATAAGCATTAACGGAAACACAGGAAAAAGTTAAATATGTATTATTCTTGTGCTAATCCTTGTGCTTATTTCACCTCAGTGCAGACTGGCGTTTTCTTGTGCTTATGCTTGCACCTACGCTCGTTGACAGCACTGCGGGCATTTTGATGTCACGCCAGTCTGGAGTGAGTCACGCATAATTTTGATTTGACTACTAGATGGAGTTTGCTTCCTTTTTCATTTCTTTAAACAATTTCCACGAAAACTTCTTTCACTCAGCATCCAAGCAAAATACAAGGAGTTTTAATTTCACCAAATCGACGTCTACCCGAGTGTCTCTTGGGGTAGGATAGGAATTCAAGCTAATGAATTGCGTATGATGATTCATACAATGATGCAATAAACGTATTTGAATACCGACAGGCTTCTTCCAGAAGTTGTTTATAATTATTAATCGTCATCCGATTTAGATAACAAAAACTTTTATCGGTTTGCTCTGAATTTGATATTTAGTTCGCGATCAATGTAACGTTTACGGCAAGATAGAAATTATCGAACCACAGAATGCTAACTGCGTGTTTGGATGTCCTGGAATCCCAGATATACACTGTAAACAAATATGCTAACTTGCTCAAGTGTTGGCAACTTGACGAATCAGCGAAATGTTTTGGCGTCTTCCTAGTCAATTTTTGGGTGGCAAAAGTGAAAGAATCAACAAATATCTTGACATCTGCTGAACAATGCCGTCAAATTACTGGAAACAGTACGATTCTGTGACATAAGCGACCTTCTTGCGTCGCGTTGTTTGTTTTGAACGATATGCAAATCTTTCAGACTACGAATTGCGTGACGCGAAAGAAAATCGCGAGAACAAAATGACCGCGCGAAATCCTTTCGCGCGCTCCTCGCCCCGAGGATTTCGCGCGGCTATTTTTTTCTCGCGGTTTTCTTTCGCGTCACGCACGACGAACTAAGCGAAAAAGGGAGTACTCGTAGTCTATCTTGCTTTTTAACTGAGCCATTGTCGTCTATAAACTTGCAATTAAATGTGTATTTTGTATTGCGGCCCAGCATCTTCAGATTTTTTCTTTGTCCCACGCTCGTGTCATGTTGATCAGTTTACTTTTCACTACTCGTAAAATACATCGAAGTTATGATTCCAGAAATGAGTTCATATGTACACTGGGCATAAGGATTATGTTTCCACAGTTGATCCCATGTGTACACATTGCACCAAAGTCTATGATTCAGAGATCATTTGATGAACCCAAATAACAGCGTAGTTATAATTTGTTACTAATTCACCCGCTTGCTGCTTGTCTCTTCGTGGGTGGAAATATTAACTTTTAAATTTTAGAGCATTGAAAATTTTCCAACCATTTTCCAACAATTTTCAATGCTCTAAAATTTTATTTTATCGTAGGTATGTTGACGACACTTTTTGTTTATTTCACTCGGAGCACGATGCTGTTATATTTTTTTGACTACATTAACTCTAGGCACCCCAACATAAGGTTTACTATGGAAAAAGAACGTAATCGCAAATTACCCTTTCTAGATGTTCTTATTGATAATAGTGACACTAATTCTTTCCTAACTAGGGTTTACCGTAAGAAAACCTTTACTGGGTTATT